GAGGGGTCTGGAAATCCTATGGGGAGGGAGGGGTTAATATTGGTAATTTCCGAGGGGGTAATCAGTCGGTCCCTTTGATCTTCGAACAACATAGGCCAATTTCCAAGGGGGGGGAATGTGTCGGCACTTTGATGTTCAATTTCCTAAGCGGGTAAAACTTTTAAGGACCCCTCAATAGGGGGGGTGCACATATTAAATGGAATGGCCCAATATTAAAGACGACTATAAACGAGACGAAGTTGTCCATCGAAGATATGAAGGTTGATAAAATGGACAATTTGTCAAACAGAACCGCGAGGGTAAGCATTTGTACTTATATCTGATAAATTGTGTATACATGTCATTTGGTATAGAACGCTCTGATTTTATGCACCTATCAATGTTAACCCCGAGGGGGGGGGGTCGGGCAAAGGGTGGGGATTTGATCAATCAGGTGGTCCCATGGGTCGGGATTTGGACTGACACTTTTTTCCTAAGTGGCCCGAGGGTGGGGATTTTTGACAGATTAACACTGATCTCAGACGATATACTGAAGAAACCTGAGCCAATTTTAGAACAAACTCTGACTCGTCACCAGTCGCCCGCGTTGTAGCTGTCAACGCCTAACCCGCGAACGGGCATATCCTCCCGCACTAAAAGGTAACGAGGGACTGTGGAAGAGTCAGGAACAAACTGAAGACTGGGCACTAGTTTATCGCTCGCTGTCTCGCGCGTTGTTTTTACAAGAAATATGGAAATTTCTACCCTGGATTCCAGAGCCTTCGACAGTAAATAATAAATTGAAATGTCGCGAAGGCTCTGGTTCAACGGGGCGATTCTTTGATTAAGCCGCGCCAATCACAAAACCGAATTAGTGGTTTTAGTACAGATTCTGTACTAAAACCACTAATTCTGTTTTGTGATTGGCGCGGCTTAATCAAAGAATCGCCTCGTTGAACCAGAGCCTTCGCGACATTTCAATTTATTATTTACTGTCGAAGGCTCTGGAATCCAGGGTAGGAAATTTCTGGACAAGAAATAAACACTTAAAAGCCATTTTATCATTATATTAATATCGATTTATACTTGTATATTAAAAGTTCACGTTATGTACTATTTAAAACACGAGTAGGAGTGTGTTTTATCAGATATAAAACGCGAGGCGCACAACTTAAAATACGAGTACAAAAGAATACTAATTAGGGCGAACAATTATATTAGAATACTGACAATATAATTATATAAGAATACTGTGTTTTATTAGCCTGACTGTTCCAGTCCACTACACCATGGTGTGGCGCAAGGTATATAAATTATTAATGAGTATTTTAAGTCATTTTGAAACGTTCTTTATGTTTGTTATACTTTTAAATTATACCGCCAAATGTATTTGTGTCATTTCCCTATCACCTGACATATAGAGTGCACCAGAAACCAAATACTTCAGTAATACAATTTCATCCCGGGGGTGGGGAATTTTGCCCAGGAATGTTCTCTCGAGGGAGTGGCATTTAACATTTTTTTTGTAAAAATGTCAAATCCCCACCCCTTGCCCGACCCCCCCTCCCTCGGGATTAACATTGATAGGTGCATTATAATGAAAGTTTAGGCTCCTAAAATAACTGCGCCAAATATTCAAAGGCTAATTCAAGATTGCTGAACTCAGTCATAGATGCTGTTTAATAATTGATTACATGCAAATCACTGCTAAAAATACTACAGTATATACCCCATTTACTGTATAAATATTATAGAACCCTTGTCTTTGCCCTTGGCAGGCAAAACGTGCAAGTTATGTTTACGCAATATATTTCTGATCTGCACTGTTGTGTTATGCCTGACTCAGGGAGGACAGGCATACCTAGGGGAATTTGACAGTTTCAATTTTGCTACTGTATGTATGCCAATAAGCTCCACTGCAGAGCACCACTTTTTAGTCAAATCTTTGTCAAATTTTCCCCTATTAAGAAATTTCAAGTTGCGAGAACTCAAGTCAATTCCTGTGTATGCCATCCTTCCCCAGGCGGACAAAATATTGCTTCGTGCATTATTCCAAAGTGCATATCACAATCACAAAACTCTTCACAGCCTAGGTTAACAAGGCAAGGATTAAGTGTCTATTGTACTATAGTATACCTAGTGCTGTATTTCATATATGGAGGCAGATCAGCCCGGGTATCCAAGCAAGTAACAAGGCACCCAGACTGGCCACAGCCTACTACAGTTGAGATAGGCCATTACGCTTGGTCAGTTCAGTTCTCATGTTATCGCAAGATTAAATTGGACAATTGACAAGAAATAATACCAAAGGTGGTGTCTCTCCAAAACCAGACCAGCTCGGGTACCCTGGCTTCTCTTTCTTGCTTGCGAAATGTGAATTTACTTTTTGTGTTAAATTTCTTGAGGCACTATTAAAGCTGCATGTGTACAGTGTAAAATAGCATAGTAAGTGCACCAGGAGGGATTGTGGCTTTAACATATATCTCATTTTTTATAGGATTATGTTAGTCATAAACTGAAAGCATTGAATGCTTATGAGAGTAATCTAGCATACGTTTGATGAAAGGTACAGTACCTTTGTGTACTAACATTATATTTATGAAACACCACAATGACCACATTCATACAAGTTAACTTGTTGCTTGTGATGTTACTCTGAGTGTATATCCACACCGGGCAAGCTTGAAAAATATGCCTGACCATGGTGGGAATCGAACCTACGACCTTTGGAATACTAGCCCAATGCTCTGCCAACTGAGCTACGCGGTCTGGTCGGTTCGAGTATGTGATATTTCGGAACAGAATCTAGTTCCTTCGATATCAATGTAATCTAGTAATAATGATATTTTCTGTGTTGGTGCAAGCCAACAAGTACAACCGCGTAGCTCAGTTGGCAGAGCATTGGGCTAGCATTCCAAAGGTCGTAGGTTCGATTCCCACTGTGGTCAGGCATATTTTTCAAGCTTGCCCGGTGTGGATATACACTCAGAGTAACATCACAAGCATCTTATTCACCTGAGTACATTGCACCAACACAGAAAATATCAAGTTAACTTGTATTTGCAGGCCAGGCCCGTAGCTAGACTGATCATTGGGGGTGTATATTCATATATTCGTGTTCTGCCTGAGGGATTTCTTTTGAAAGTAATTGTTAATGTTGTTACACTACATGAACATGAATATATGAATATACAACCCCCCACCCCCACCCCTCCAATTATCGGTTCTAGCTACGCCGCTGTTGCAGACGTACACTTACGAAACATGAGTCATCTTATACAGCTATACTAAATATTCTGTTTTAATTTTAGTGTTGACTCTCAACACAACATCATGCTGTGTTCCAAGGTTTCCAAGGAACTGGCTCATGAGTATGGAGGGCCACAACTGTTTTAATAAAAGGTATGGTGTACACAGTATTTATGGTATTTGTAATTGTCTTGCCCAAGGCCAAAAAAAATATGTGGGTTTCCGGTTTCTTCTTATAAAAACTTAGGTAGGGTAGGTCGGTTTTAATTTTTTTTTAAACTTTTTTTAAAATTTTCCAAACAAATGAACGCCATTTTGTTTAGTCAGTGCTTTCACATCCAAATTAGATAAATTTCCCTAATATTGCCTCAAATTTCAATTTTCCACAAACTTTTTCCTCTAAGTGGAAACACTTACAAGCATGATCGATCCAATAAAAAAGTTTAGGGGTCGGGATTTCGACGTCCAAAAGGTAGGTAGTGTCGGGAAACCGGAAACCCACATATTTTTTTTTGGCCCAATAGATATATTTTAAAACCATATACCGGTAACTCCTGTGGTATCTGGATTCTGGTAATCACTTTACCATACTTTACTCTGTCAATTTTTCAATATTAATTACAAGGCGATATATGTTGGGTCACAAAACTCCCAACGTGGCAACGTCTATAGAGTGGTATCACTTTAGTTTTGCTCACCCCAGAGAATCGTCCTATATATGACTAAAGCTAGACAATTGTACTGTACTTGTACATAGCACATGTCTCAAAATTTGATTTAATTAAAGACTTTTGAGCATAGTATAGAAAGAGTATAAATATAATATGCAGCTAATTCTTATGATGTTGTCACAAGCATTGCTGTATTGCAGTAGTCAAATGTCACATGCCAGCAATATTATCTGCATTTGCTTGCATTTTGTCAAAAATATTTGCGTTTTGGATTGTAGAATTGACTATTGCATGTGACAACCTTTGCATGTGCACGGTATTTAAAGAATGGTCCTTAAAATGATTTTTTCTGTGTTGGTGTTATGTACTCAGGTGAATATGATGATACTCTGAGTGTATAACCACACCGGGGAAGTTTGAAAAATAGACCTGGCTAGGGTGGGAATCAAAGCTACGACCTTGGAATGCCCAATGCTCTGCCAACTGAGCTACCATGATTAGAAAGAACTAGACTCAGTTCTGAAATATCACATACTCGAACCGACTTGACTGCGTAGCTCAGTTGGCAGAGCATTGGGCTAGTATTCCAAGGGTCATACGTTCGATTCCCACCGTGGCCAGGCATATTTTTCAAGCTTGCCTGGTGTGGATATACACTCAGAGAAACATCACAAACATCATGGTCTTTAAAATGTTTACGCGGTTTTTACATATGATTTGGTACAAGTTCTCGTGAACATCCAGAACAAATTATTTTGCGTG